CACCTTAAATGGAGGAATTTGGTGCCATTTCAACGTAGAAGCCGTTGGCGAAGGTTTGGCTTTGAACATTACTTGTCACATTGTCTGTTAATTTAGGGATATATATAGATTTATACGTATACCAACACAAATAAAATAAAATAACATCATTCTTAAAATTAATTGCCTTGTGAATGCTCCCAAATACCCTCGCAAAAATCAAAATTTCAAACTCCTCACAAGAATTGGCTGGCTTTAAAAAATTTTCATTAGGAAATATTATTTATATAAAAGTAATTTATTTTTCAATTTAAATTTAAATAAAAGAGAATCTCTAATGTTAAAACATTTCCTTCTCATTTATAATTTTACGTTTATAATTTAAATTATAAAATAATTTTTTTATATTATATAATAATAATTTTTATTAAATTTTTTTATTAATATACACATAAAACTAAATTAATGGATATGCACACGTTTAACGAATGTAATGCACCTCCTCCTACTGGTAATTTACGAACTTTTTTCAATGTCATGTGTGACATATATTGGTCCACATAAAAGGCAACCAAAAGTGAACAAAAATCTTAGTGGCATATTTAGTAATTTAAGCAATAAAGTTTGGTCATGTCTTAATTTCACCTACTTTTTTTGTGAAAATCCCGTTCTAGGATACTTTTTCTTCAACTTGATCCTGCTCACATTTTTCTTCAAAAAAATTTTTTGACCATCTTTCTCAATTTTTTTTGTCAATTCAGTTTTATTTGTTTCATATCTTCCTAATGCTTCATCCCCACCTGTTCCCTCCAGCCTGAAAATTTTGTCTTCCTCCTAGGCCACTCCGCCACCCATTTACATCTTTTTTTTGATGAATTTTTGAACAAAATATCTGTCTGTAAAAGCCATTTTTATAATTTTGGAATTTTTCTGGGTTGTTTTTTCAGTAAAGATATTGGCATATATAAAGGGGATATTTTTCTATACCTAGAGTGTGTCTGAGAAAAACAATCTTCTCCAGCCACCACCTTATCTTTCTTCAAGTGCTGTGTGACTGTGTCTCTCTTATGCTTTGTTATTGAAAAAAAAGCAAAGGTCTTTTGGGGTTTGTTTGAAGGGAATTAGAGAGAGACATGGATGCTGTTGTTCAGACCAGGGGGCTTCTCTCACTACCTCCTAAACCCACCGCAGCCAGGAGGCTTCTTCAGCCATCACAGGGTCTAAAACAGAGGCTTTTTGCTACCAAACCTATAAGTTTTAATGGCTTATCTCTTTCTTCAAATGGGTATCAGAAATTGCCTGCCTTTGTTGCAAAACCGCATGGGTTGTATCCAAAGGAGAGGACTTTGCATGTCTGCAAGGCGGAGGCTTCTGCTGCAGCTGGTGGACAGCCGTTGTTTGAGGAGAAGCCAAAGTTTTTGGGTATTGACACTGCGACTCTGAAGAAAATTATCCCTCTTGGGTTGATGTTCTTCTGCATCCTTTTCAATTACACAATCCTTAGGGACACAAAGGATGTGTTGGTCGTGACAGCTAGGGGAAGCAGCGCCGAGATTATTCCATTTCTCAAGACCTGGGTTAATTTGCCCATGGCTATTGGGTTCATGTTGCTGTACACAAAATTGGCTAATGTTTTGCCCAAGCAGGCTCTCTTCTACTCCGTTATTGTGCCCTTCATAGCCTTTTTTGGGGCATTTGGGTTTCTTTTGTATCCTCTCAGCAATTACATCCATCCTCAAGCCCTTGCTGATAGGCTTCTTGGTGTTCTTGGCCCGAGGTTTCTTGGTCCACTTGCAATTATGAGGATTTGGAGCTTCTGTTTGTTCTACGTTATGGCTGAGCTTTGGGGCAGCGTGGTGATTTCAGTTCTATTTTGGGGCTTTGCCAATCAGGTGCTTACATTATCTTAGAAATTATGTTTCAGATTAGATTGTGTGCTTGATTGTTTAAATATGTTACTTTTGGGGGTTATTTTGATTCTGTGTGTCAGAACTTAAATAGAAAAGTATACGCACTAGATAAAAAGAAGTTAATTTTGATGTCAATGATTGGATATCCATTAGCAGTAGTCCAGTCTAAGTTCTCCTGACGGTTCGTTTATGCCTTTTGTCAATAGATGTGTTTATCTTTCCTGCATCTGAAACTGGGATCCATATTCCAGGCCTTTTTATGTAAAGTCCTAAGGCTGCTCTTTATGTAGAAAGCTTTCTGGATTTTAGCATTTAGAACTACCGGTTATAAGGTCGAGGATCTATTTGAAAGAATGACTTACTGAATTCCTTTACAAGTTCAGGCCCGGGTAAAATTTTTGTTTGCATGTAGGCAAGAAATCCTAAATGCTGGTCAGGATCCTGATTGAAGACAGTTATTTCCACTGAACTAATATGAATGACATAGTTCTAGTTTACTTGATGTTATATCTTCTCAACATAAGTCCATTCATGATTATGAAATGTTTTGGTTGTCTATGGTGATATACCTCCATGTTTGTTAAATTTCACTGATATGTTTGTTCTGCCTTGTTTGTATGCATGGTTGTTTCCAACTTCCTTCGCTTAGCTGTATGTTGGGAAGTTATTATTGACTTTGAAGCATTTTGTACTTATTGTTGCTCTCTTGCAGATAACTACTGTTGAGGAAGCAAAAAGATTCTACCCTCTCTTTGGTCTTGGAGCCAATATTGCGCTAATTTTCTCTGGTCGAACAGTAAAGTATTTCTCTAATTTGAGGAAAAATTTGGGTCCTGGGGTTGATGGTTGGGCCATCTCTTTAAAGGGAATGATGAGCATTGTGGTGCTAATGGGGCTGGCAATCTGTGGCCTTTACTGGTGGGTGAATGCTTATGTTCCTCTTCCAACCCGTAGTAAGAAGAAGAAGGTAAATTTCTGGTGAACTTTTTCTTGTCATTCGGCACATTTTGTTTTCTTTTGTTCTTAGGCTTTTAGTCTTTTACTTTGATGCAAAATATATTTTGTGCTACCACATTTCTTAAATATCCATGATCGAAGCACTGAAAGCCCCAAAGGTTCTGTGATGCCACCAATAATCAGTATGCCTTTTTTGTAACCTGCAGAAATCCCTGCTAGTCGTTAAGTCAGTATTCTTTTTGATGTATTTCTGATGGCATGTAGATTATTACTCTGGTTCTAAAAGCCAAAAATAAAAGAAATCCATTTTTGGGCATATTGCTACACTACACATGCACAACCATATCCATTTGCTTATAAGGACAGATCCTATGTACTGAACTTTTGAGAGCCTGTGTTTGTTACTATATTGGTGTAGATATCATATTTTTCATTGTCTTTTGATTCCCTTTGCAGGAGAAGCCCAAGATGGGAACAATGGAGAGCTTGAAATTCTTGGTCTCATCAAGGTACATTAGGGATCTTGCAACTTTGGTGGTTGCATATGGTATTAGTATCAACCTTGTTGAAGTTACTTGGAAATCGAAACTCAAAGCTCAGGTAAAGTGAATCTGGTTATTTCTCTATATCTTCTTCTCTTCAATGGCTAATTAACTGATGATTCTCTTACAGTTTCCAAGCCCAAACGAGTACTCTTCTTTCATGGGTGACTTCTCAACTGCCACTGGAATAGCAACATTCACGATGATGTTGCTGAGTCAATTCATATTTGATAAATATGGATGGGGAGCTGCAGCCAAAATCACACCCACAGTCCTGCTTCTCACTGGGGTTGGTTTCTTTTCTTTGATATTGTTTGGAGATCCACTTGTACCTACTCTTGCAAAGTTCGGTATGACTCCTCTTCTAGCAGCTGTATACGTGGGTGCCATGCAAAATATTTTCAGCAAGAGTGCAAAATACAGCTTATTTGACCCTTGCAAGGAAATGGCCTACATTCCTTTGGATGAGGAAACTAAGGTTTGGATTCTTAACTCACAGTTCCAGCTTCTAAATTTCTGTACCTTCTGTTCTCTTTAACTTCATAGAAACCAAATTAAGGTGGAAATATCAGTGTTTTCAAATTTGTGATTGAATGTGGGAATTTTTACATCAGTTTCACTTCTACTGATCTGGTCTGAAATTCATTTTGCATTTTTGCTTCTGTAATGCTATCTTTAGGTTAAAGGGAAGGCAGCCATTGATGTCGTCTGCAATCCATTGGGCAAGTCTGGTGGTGCTCTCATTCAACAGTTTATGATCTTAACCTTTGGATCACTTGCGAATTCCACTCCTTACCTTGGAGGGATACTTCTCTTGATTGTATCCGCATGGCTAGCAGCAGCCAAGTCTCTTGATGGACAATTCACTGCATTGCGTAGGGAAGAAGAACTCGAGAAGGAAATGGAAAGGGCAACCGTCAAGATCCCTGTTGTTTCTGAAGGTGGAAATGGTTCTGTTACTTCACTGAACCCGGCCCCAGATGAGGCATCTAGCAGCTCATCTGAAACGACTACACCGCGTAATATTTAGATACAATTTCTTCCATTCGTTTGCTGAGCAGAGAAGAATAAAGCCAGCTAATGCCTGGTGGAAAGCAGTCCTAGCTAGATGAAAGAAATGTTGGTTGTAGTAGTGTTTACCTCTTTGTTTTTGATAGAAATACTAGGGAGCTAAAGAGCCAGTATGCATGACTGGTTTATTTATGAAGCTGGTTTTTTTTGCAGATGTTGAATTTACTGTTGTTTGAATTCTGTAATTTATAGAATTGCTGCCTGATGAAAAAACTTCTTTTTGATATAATAATATAGTTATTACTATTTTTTAAGAAAATGTTATATAAGTTTATTAGCCATTTTTATTGTGACTAGACTAGGGGTAGTGCTCTGTACAGATATTTTATCACAAAGTAGCTTATAAAATTTTAAATTATAATCAATTTTTTATATATTTTTATTATTTTAATTAATATTTTATGTTTTTTACAATAATAATTAGACTATATATATATATATATATATATCACACTACAACATCAGCTCTCACAAACAAGGCTTCCATCTGGGGATATTTGAATTTTTTGGTTTAAATGAGTATTATTTTGCATTCCATACTATAAAATAAGAATTTTTCAATATGTGAAAAGTTTCAATATTAGAGAGTCTGTCATCTTATTCAAAGGTCTATGTTATACAATTCGTGCAACAACAATTTTTTTTGATATAAAATAGCCTTAGGTAATCTCCTTTTTCTTAAAAAAAAAAAAAAAAAGTACAAGAAGCACAGCAATCTATACTTCCAATTGCAAAAGGACCCCGAAAGGCCAATGAGGTATTGCCATTTGCCAACGCTTAGCAGAGCAATTGGCCCAGGCTGAGGTTAAGACTCCTCTTCTAGCCTGGCTCCCAGGCAGGATAAGGAAGTCAGATTCAAGAGAGCCCAACTTTAGGCCAATGATTGGGCTTAAGATTGATGTTGGTGCTGAGGAGAAGCTGAGCTAAGTTACTGGATCAGGCACAGTAGAGTGGACCCAAACTGCAGTTTCAGGTTCAAGGAAAGAAAATATTAACGAAGCAGAAAACAAAGGGGTTCACGTGCTGGTTAGGGTTAGTTCCAGGGAATATTAACGAAGCAGAGAACAAAGGTTCACGTGCAGGTTAGGGTACTCCATACTGTATACTCATCCCACGCAAAATCCTTCCAAAAGTTGGCAGTTTTGTTTGTGTTATGCCATCCATGTGGCAGCCATCATTATTTTTTGTGTACAATCCGGGGTGGGGGCGGAATGCAACTTCACTTCTTAATCATTTTGATTACAAACGCCAATGCAAACTTGTCCACAAGGTTATATTGGAAATTGCCTTTCCACAACATCGTAATCACCTCTATATATTGCTGTGATATTCATGTTTCAATCCTGTACTAGTAAATAAATGTAATCATGTGATATATTATATGAATTGAGATTTGAAATAATCTATTGTTAATAATCAGTGGTGGAACCAGAGAGAGAGAGAAGGTAGGGACTTTTTCTTTTCAATTCTAACTTTAAACTCTTTTTTTGTTTGTACAATGAACTTTAAGGAGGGCATTTGACCTTTTTCTTTTTAACAACTTTAATTTATGCTTCTTTATTTTTATTCTATATAATCTTTTTTACTTGTCTTAATTTATTCCTCAACTATATGTAAATTAACTTAATAATTTCATATAATAAATTAATACAACAATTGAAAACATTTTTTTGATTCAGATGAAAATACTTAATAAGAACTACCTATAGAAAGAAAAAAAAATTTCCATTGACATTTATTAAGTACGTAAAATAATTTGGCCAAGCTTAATAAAAAAAATTAACTTAAGACAACTAAATTAGACAAAAAAATTTTTTTTCTTGAGATTTGAGGTTGCCTCACGCCCAAACCCCTCGTTATGTAGTTATGCCATTGTTAATATTTTAATAAGCTTAGACTTTTAGAGATTACATGGGGTTTTAACTTTTAACTCGGGCATTTGTTAAGTTAATTGGGCTTTCTACACAGAATCAATTGATCATATATCAAAGTGGATTAGGGCAAAAGCCTAAAAATAG